CGGACTCTTTTAACATTTTCTTTTTTTTTTGGAGAAATAATGTATGTGTGCGTGTGTGTGTGTGTGCGTGTGTGTGTACGTGTGTGTGTGTGTTTGTGTATGTATGTGTGTATGCCATTCGCTGAATGTACGATCCCTAGAAAAACTGCAGGTTTTAAATCTCTTAAGTGCAAATATTATTTTTTTTTCGTTGTTTATTTTGTGATTCTTACTGGTCCCGGGATAAGAGCGAAGAGCAAAAGCCATTTAAACAATTTCTTGCAGACTGCTTTGGGGGGGTGATGATGTGAAGATAATTTGCCTCCGACCCAAACATTTGGGTGATTATGTAAGTGATTATGTCAGCTGTACAGGGGTAAGACTCCAGCACTTTCTACTCTTGATAATTCGTAGTAATTAATATAGGCGAACCTATGCAAAGTCTCCTCTCTGTCTCTCCCTCTCCCCTCCCAAACAGCAGTATGTGACTTTAACTAGTTATTGATATTGTTCCTGAATTCATCCAGAGTCAAAGCGAATATGAATGTTTAAAGGGTATTTCAGTACAAAATTCAAATGCAAAAGCGCGTTTCAGGATACCACATCGGAAGCTGTATCCTCTCTCTTTTTTTTAAAAAAAAACCAATCAATCGTGCACTCTGCATTATTTCTTAAGTAATAAAATTCGCTATGATTGAAAAACCGTGCCTGTTGTTCTGTTCGGTTCAGTTGAGCAGCGATTCCACCGTTTTAGCGAATGTTTAACTTGAATTGCATGTCACACTCGTCTTTCAACTGACATGGAAATATGCTCCAAGACTTGATAAGCAATGGAAATGTTCCAACAATTGGAGTTTAAAAATGCGTATGTACACATTATAAAGCCAACACTTTATTGTTCCTTTGCATCTGGCCTACAGTCTATAACGTTTCACAGAAGCTCTTACCAGCAGCCTTTAATAACACAAATTTCATTCATGAAAGTTGGGTGCAGTGTTGGATAGGCCCACAAAGCAGTTGACCGATAGGAAGTACTGCACCGAATCCTCCTTCACCAAGCAAATGTATTTACGTTGGGCTGCATGATGGGGGTTGTGACAAGTCAAGGATATCTAACCACACTTTAGATCTAATCATTTGAAATAGCGGTTAAGTGTTTATAAATGCCCAATAAATAGGTAACTTGCATCTGTTTTTTAAAAAAAGGACGTATGCACGCAAAGTCAGGTGATCAGTGATGACACGAGGTTTGAAAGATTAAATAGGGATATCAAAATATTTTCAGTTGAAGGCAGGG